TCTTTTTTTTAAAATAAAAAAAAAAAAAATATTTAAAAATTTTTTTTAAAAAAAAAAATATTCATAACAAAAAAAAAAAAAAAAAAAAAAAGAATCCCTGACACTTAAGAGCAAGGAAAGGATTTTCAGGAAAAGCCAGAGGAATGAAGCCTAGAACAACCACTTCCCTAAACATTTTCTTGACACACTTATGCACCCAAGGGCCCTGGATAAAAAAATAAATAAAATGAAAAGCCAGGCGGTGGTGACGCACATCTTTAATTCCAGCGCTCTGGAGGCAGAGGCAGGCGGAACTCTCAAGTTCGAGGCCAGCCTGGGCTACAAAGCGAGTTCCAGGGAGAAACCCTGTTTGGTTTTTTTTGGGGGGGTGGGGGACCTCAGGCCTCCTCCCCCAGGAAAACTTAGTTCTCAGAGTGCCCCTTAACTTGTAGGTGAGTTAAAGTGTAAGCTGCTGTCTGTGTTCAGGTTGCTGACTGAGAAACTAGTTGCTGGGAAGTACCGCAAACAGGCATTTAAGATACTCTTAAATGCTGTAACTACCAGAAAACCGTAAAAGCGGTGTCAACCATCCGAATAATTTAAACATGATCCTTTCTGGAAATATGCAGGCAGTAAGACATGAAAGACTAACAGCATGGAAAAACGGATGCAGTGTGTCAACAGCAAAAAAAAAAAAAAAAAAAAAAAAAAAAAAAAAAAAAAAAAGATTTTTCATCAGAGGGTTGGGGCTGGCAAGGCCTCTCAAAACGGCACAGGATGAAGAAGAGGATTTAGTTGTGAGCAGGAGAACACGACCCTCTCTCTCCTCACTAAAAGCCGCATTATTCACACCCTTTGAGCCGGCTTGGGCGGGCTCTTCCTCCTTTTCTACACTTGTGCACACCCGCTTCTGGGTCAGCAGCGTTCTCTCAGAAGCTCCGTGGTGCGAGGCGCGTGAGGAGACGCAAGGGGGCGGGGGCGGGGGAGACGGCGGCAGCCCCGGGCCTGCAGGACAGCACCGTCTCTTCGTCCCGTCCGGGGCTTCTCAACGGTTCCACACAGACACGTTCGCGGGAAAGCGCGATCCCACCGGGGAGGTCCGTAGAGTTAGAGCCGAATAACGGCAGAAGACCAAGGGTCAGCGCGGGGGCGGGGCTACAGCGCCAGCCCCGCCCCCCGGCTGTTCCCGCGCTCTGATTGGCTCCGGCAGCCGCGCGCTCCGGGCGGGCAGCTGGCGGCTGAAAAGCGGGTGTTGCTGGCTGCGAGGGACCAGCGCGCAACCGCCTGAGGCAGCTGCCTGAAGCGGAGGCTGAGGGCCGCTTGCCCCTCGCCAGGCTGCGCAGGTACCTTCGCCCTCTCGGGGCTGGCGGGCCTGGTGACGAGTCCCGAGTGTCGGCCGCGCCTGTGCCCTCCTCCCGCCCCCCCCGCCCCT